TATTACTTCGAAGAAAATAATTCTATCAGACATTTGCGCGCGCTAAATCCTGTGTGCAATCATCGTAATCTGCGTTAATTCGACGCGCAACGTCTCATCATATCACATCAGCGCCCAGGATTGTTTGCGCGTGTGCGGCACGCGTATGGCGAACGTATGTATGTGGCACACGCGCATGGGTGTGGTACGCGTGCGTGTGTGGCACTTACGCGGGCTCGCGTGTTTGTGCAAGACATGATGAAATGTAAAGAGAAAAATTGTATATTTCATGTTTATTACCCTCCTGCCATCGATGTACTCGTATGTACTCTTGTGGTGTTTTAGTCTCGATGTTCTTCACTAACATTTTGATTGGTTAACGTTCTTCCAAGTGGCCTGGTTCAAATAGTCGCACTGTAACTTTTTGCAAGATCATTGACTTACTCTTTTTTCAGCATTAAATCCGAGCGCGTCCGCACACAATCGCGTTGTAAATAGGATCATTTTTTGTTGTGCGATAGTATCATTTACTCATAAAAAAGTTGGGTAATTTCTTGTTTCGCCTGGAAGGGCAGCTGGGGCTTCTGGTTGCCAAGGATACGTAAAACTCGAGGAAACAACTTATTTGCATAACAACACCTTTCAGACTTGTCCATACTAAACCACACAACCCACTCTTGTAACAACTTGTTCTTCTCTGCCCGGTGAAATAAACGCTGTATAGGGGTTGCCATGGACAACTCAAACTCAAGACAGTAGTAGAACATAGTTTGCATAACAACATATCAAATCAACCCCAAAAGGGTGGAGCTTCTGGTTGCCATGGATACGTCAAACTCAAGAGATCGGAAGACGAAAAGTAAATATAATGAAGTTTCTTAGTCTGTTACGGCATACTGAGATCGAAACACCCTACCAGGGACTTAATTCAGTTTTCAAGTCACGAGTAGAATATTCAAGCTATCCGATCAGTGAGATAATATAATATAGCACTCAATTTTTTCTCATATCCCTCCCCTGAACATAACAAGGCACTAC